AACCGGAATCGGACAAGCTCGGGTCCATCCCTAGATACAAGCAACGTGAGGGCCATGATTACTTTGACACGTATTCTCCTGTGACGAGAATAAATTCCATTAGGATGATACTAGCAATTGCCACATTGCGAAAATCGGAAGTTAATCAAATGGATGTAAAAACCGCTTTTCTAAATGGCGATATAGACGAAGAAATCTATATGGAACAGCCCGAGGGTTTTCGTGTTCCAGGCCAAGAAAGGAAAGTGTGTAAATTAATTAATTCATTGTATGGATTAAAACAAGTCCCTAAACAGTGGCACGAAAAGTTCGATCATGCAATGTTAATTAATGGGTTTAACCGTTTAAAATAAACGAAAGTGACAAATGCGTCTATGTGAAGAGCACAGTAGACGACTATGTCATTTTATGTTTATACGTGGATGATATACTCATCGTGGGTAGCAATAATCTAATGATTAATTCTACCAAAAGCATGTTAAATTCTAAATTTGACATGAAGGATATGGTGCTGGCCGATTTAATCCTTGGGATTAAAATAATTAGGGGACCTGACGGTCTTACGCTAAGCCAATCCCATTACGTTGATAAAATCCTTACGAAATTTAATAAGGATGATTATCAAGAGGCAAGGACTCCATTAGATAAAAACGCTCATCTTACCAAAAATCGTGGAGAGTGTATTTCTCAAGTAGAATATATGCTAGGATTATTGGAAGCTTGATGTATCTAATGAGCTGTATCGGGTCTGATATTGCCTTTGTGGTTAGCAAGCTAAGTAGATATACTAGTAACCCCAATGATGAACACTGGAAGGCAATAGTAAGGGTTTTGGGGTATTTACGTAAAACCCAAAACCTTGGACACACTATGGAAGATATCCAGCTGTACTTGAAGGGTATAGTGACGCTAGTTGGATATCCGACATAAAGGACTCTAAGTCCACAAGTGGATATGTTTTCACTTTGGGAGGTGCAGTCGTGTCATGAAAATCCTCAAAAAAAACGTTAATAGCTAGATCCACGACGGAGTCTGAGCTAATAGCCTTGGATAAGTGCACTGAAGAGGCTGAATGGCTAAGCCATTTTCTCGAGGATATTCCAAGTTGGGAAACGTCTGTCCCTCCAATATGCATACATTGCGATTGTCAAGCGGCAATTGGAAGGGTACAGAGCAATATGTACAATGGTATATCTAGACACGTTCGTCGTAGACATAACATCATTAAACAACTCCTCACAACGGGTGTTATCACTGTTGACTACGTGAAGTCAAAGGATAACATAGCGGATCCGCTAACCAAGACATTGGATAGAGAATTGTTGGAGAAATTGTCACGAGAAATGGGACTATAGCCCATGAATTGAAATGTTCTATAGTGGATACCCAACCTAGTTGGTCCTAGGTTCAAAAGGGACAACTAAATTATAGAGCAAAGCATGGTCACTGTGGGGGTCCCAGACTCCTACCCACTCCTCGTTTGAAACAGTGACTCCCGCATGAGGTTAGCAAACGTTTGATTTAATGATTCTGAAATGTTGATCTACTCGATAACATCGGAAGAGTATGCTACTCGTGAAAGAATCTCGTGAAAGAATCACCTATGTGAGAGAGAAGAGGACCGCTTCAAAGGAGAACTGTACAGGCTCAGTTCTTTAGAAATTCTTACAGAATCAGGACGGTGACCCATGGCCAAAACGGGCACACCCATGAGAACGGAACAAAGTTGGAAGGTTTTTGTGTAAGATAAGTCAATGTTTACATGACGGCAGTATAGTTCAAGTACATCGAGTCTACTAGACAGCCAAAAAATAAACGTGTCTTTACAACGGAAGGTTTAAAGGATCCTCTCCATGTGCAGGGATCATCCGGTGAACACAATGTGTCCTCCTATCTTCGTGTCTTTTTTAAGTCTCGAAAATCAATTTTCATTCATGTGGGGGATTGTTGGAAAATGTGTTAAGAAATTGCATTAAATTGTCATTTTGGGGCAATATTTTGAGTGGGGCTCACTTCCAATTTGGGTCGGATCAAAGTGGTTTCGGATTGTCCTTGTTAAGGGCTACAATTCGATATGTGGTACACTCAAAAAGGATAACGGGTGAATGAGAAATTGATTCTGAAAGTTCAGCCTGTTGGAGCAGTCTACTGCCCGCAGCCGCCTGCTGAGTCCACTACTAGCGGCAGGTGCCTACCCAGGCAGCCGCCTGCTGAGCCGCCTGCTGCCCGCAGCCACCTGCTGAACCGCCTGCTCGTGGCAGCCTGTTGCTTCCGTTACAGAAATTAAATGTCCAACGTTCCTTGCAATTAAATGGACAATTACGGACGATTCAATACCAACATATTGGACATTGATGTCCAACGGTAATGTCCATTAAAACGTCATTAACACACAATAAATCTTCCTCTATAAATGGGCTAGCAGGTGGTTTGCAGCAACACACATACAAACGTTCACCACACACTCTTTAGCTCTCAAAAACACCTCTAGCATTCCTGAAAAAATCCTTGGTGTTCATACTTGTTCTCGTTTGCCGGAACAATTTGTTTGAGTGCTCAAACTATTGTTTGTAGTCATCGTATACTGGGAAACAATTGTTGCAACGCTCCTAGCACCCCAGGAGGTAACAAATACGTTTTAAGGACATCGTGCGTTGCACGAGCTTTGGCTAATTCTACTCCATCTACTTTCTGTTTTTCTTTAGTCATTTTAATTAATTAATTAATTTTATTAATTACATTTCTTTGTTTTTCTAAACACACCCAACACGGCTAACACATGAGAGCATGGAATCTTATATATCTCCATCTTTTTACAAGTGCAAATTTTCTGTTTAAGATGGACAATTTGTTTTCTCCCACCCTTCCCCAACGTTCGACCACCACAACTGGTTTCCACTTGAAATAACCCTCAGCCTAAATCAAATGGAGTAACTATGTGATGCTTGGCCTCCTCTCTATTCTTATCAATTAAATCCGTGATGTATGGAGAGTACTCGTGGCCTTCTGTCACTCTCATTTTACTGGTTTCACGCCTATTAACAAAATAAGCATTAACCCGGTAAAAGGAAACCTGGACCAAAGCGGTGATGGACACATATCTGGCATTTTCATCACACTGTTGAAAACCTCTGCCAGATTAGAAGTGATGGTACCGTATCTGTACCCGCCATCGTGGTGCAACGACCACATTTCCGGCGGAATGTTCCCCAGAAATTTTCGTGCCTCCAAACTCATTTCACCTATCTTCTTGAATCCACCGTCAAACTTCTTTTTCTGATGTTGCCGTGGTGATCCAGACAAAAAGATTTTTTAGATGAATGTCTTTGAAATGAGTGTGCACATTCGATGCAAGATGGCGGATACATAGCCTATGATGCGCATAAGGCTCCTCCCAAGTACTGTCCACCTCACTCATTTCCCTGACAATACCTCCATGCCGATCAGAAATGACACACAACTCTCTATTAGTGACAAACTGTCTAATACATGCCATAAACCATAGCCAACTATCCCCATTCTCAGATTCAGCAACTGCAAAGGCCACTGGAAATATTTGGTTGTTCGCATCACAACCCATGACCACGAGCAATGTACCCTTGTACTTTCCATACAAGTGTGTGCCATCAATAGTAAGTACAGGTCGACAATGCTTAAAACCATGTATTGATGCCTTGAATGCCCAAAAAACTCTTTGAAACTGCATATAACCTGTGGGAGTATTAGGCAGTGGGTACCACTGCACAATAGTTCCAGGATTTGAATGTTGGAGCGTTGTCAGTTGGAGCGCTGTCAGAATATGACTTCTCCCAACCGCCAAATATTTCTGTTATGGCCTTTTGCTTCCCCATCTATGTTCTCCGGTATGATACCGTATACCCATACTTTTCCTTCAGCATCTCAATGATAGTATGCATTTTAAGAGAATGAATCGTGCGAACAATGTCAATCACATCTTTAGAGATGAAATCTGAAGTCAAAGCCACGTGATCGGTAGTGTCGGTGTTCCCAACACACGTAGCAGAATGAGGTCCAGGATAACGCATAATCGTGAAGGTGTCAAGGCTGCCTTTTTTCTTTGTGGCGCGTATTCTCCAGAGGCAAGTACATTCTTTCTTCCTTTTGCATTGTGCCACCCATTTGTGTTTATCGGACTCTATCACCCGAAAAAATTTGTTCCGTTTGATAGAATACAAGCTCACCATATTGATGACTTGTTCTTTGTTGTCAAACTGTTGACCCACCTCAAACTCACCTTCAGGAGTAAACCTTTTCTCACCTGATCCACTCAGCCACGCATCAGTAAAGCCTTCAGGGAGATCATACATTCTAGTAAAGTGGGTAGACGAGGCAGTTGTCGTGACCGTATCACCATCATCTTCATCAGATTCTGTCATGTCTTCACCATTGATGTTGTCGTCAGCATCATCATCACTTCCCTGGCCATCCACAAATAATGCACCGTTGTGCAAATACCTACCATCTTTCTGTATAACCATGTCCAGTACAGGAGCATTTGAGAAGTTCCTTGCATTCACACCTGCATTGACATAATGCCTAGATACAACAGCATTTGATGTTGATGGAGTACCATAAGCGTCACATATGGATTCCTCAATGTATATCTCCAGCATCGACAGATCCTCCATCTGAACTATGCCCCACATATTTGTTATAGCTAGCTCATCAATGAGGGGCATAAGCATGTACTTTCACCCGTTCATTGGTAATTTCATTTTCAAACGCAAAGAACGGCTAGGATGAATCATTGTAGTTGCATGTATTTTTTGAAGGATTTCGAGCATGCAAGCACCACGAGAAACCATGATAAATGTGGTTGTACCACCTTCATGACATATTTGCCCATCATCCTCATAATAGTTCCCTCCCCAATGGCACACGATTGGGAAGCTTTAGAAATCCATATTCTTATAACAATTCAAATATATCCAAAAGTCAAAATTCAGAAACAACTCACATTTCAATATGAAAATACCCAAATTTTGCTAGCTACATTCAAATCTACCAAAATGCTCAAATGTCAAAATACACTTTAAAATTTACAATCAATTTAAAATCAAATTTCAACATTTCATACATATCCACATTTCACAACAAGTCAAATCACAATCAATTCACAATCTAAAAATTCGAAAATTTTAACATTCAAAACCCTAAGTTCAAAATGAGATGAAATGGAGTTTGATTTACCTACAAGAAAGAAGAAAGAGTGTTGAAGATGAAGATGGAGGTTTGCCGGAGTGGGGTAGCTGGAGATGGAGGTTCACCGAAGTTCCAAATCGCTCGGTCGTCGTTCGTCCTTCGTCGCTGCGGCTTGAGGGATTTTGGGGATTGGGTTTAATTTACGCAGTGTTCTGTTCTGGCTGGTCGAAATTTTTAGTTAAAGGTAAGTCGCCCAACCGCTGGACGACTTACCCCGACCATGATTAACGCAGCAGTATATTGATAAATACTTTTAACCGAACCATATTTTCGTAATTAATTAATTATTTAACATTAATTCGAAAAAAAACTCTAGTAGTACGTACTTCTACTACTTTTAGGTAGATTTTTGCATGGAAACTAAAATCCTAAATAATAAAAAAAAACACTCCCTCTCCTTTACTTCTTAGGTCTTCATCTTTTGAAATTTCAATATATTTTTGTTCTTATTTTGTGAAATTTCCCATTATTAAAACTTCAAAACCCTCATTCAGCAAGAAGTTGCTATTTCTGTATCTTCTTCCATGGGATGGTAATTCTCTTACGCACATTTCCATTTTTCCTCTTCTGCAAATCTTCATCTTCTTCAACGCAAGGAGGAGGAGGGGGGCTGATCTTCTCGGCGCCAGATGAAAGCATTGCAGACGCAGCTTCTGCAGCCTTCCGCCATTGCTCACACTGCACCTTCACCCTTCTCAACTCTTCTTCCATTTCCGCATTGTACGCCTCCACCGCCTCCATCTGCTCCATCATTCCTTCCCTTCTCCTCCCATTTTCTTCATATATCATCTTCATTTCGGTCAATTTTTCCTTCAGATACCTAACCTCCCTCTCCAGTTCATATTCCCGCTGTCCGGACCGTCTATTCTCCAATTTCAAAGCTAGGTTTTCGTTCTCTTCGCATATCCCTTGCAATTCGGTTTCTTTATCCATAAGATTCGCCTTCAATTCCTCGATCTCTATGCTCAGTTTCTGTACTTCATCTCTAAGTTCGGTCTCTTTCTGGTTCGACGAGGAGATAACCTGTTCAACGAACTCGTAAGCGCCTCTGATCTCTACAGTACTTCGCGTTTGTTCTTCGGCATTTTTTGCTTCGGACGCGTCCAGAGCATCTTGGAGGGTTTCAATTTCGGATTCGAAGGTTCTGTGTTTTTCATTGAAGAGGGATTTTGCCCTAGCTTCGGACTCTTTGCAATTGCTTAGCTGGATTTTCAATTCCTCCACGAGCAATAGAGTCTCAGACAGGTTTTCCTTCAAGTTTTGAAGTTCTATTGTCTCATCTAAGGCGGGGGTGGGTGTCCGTTTCATCAATTGCTCCTGAGATTCTTGCAGTTTTGAAGATAAGTGAGAAAGCTGTCTTTTTGAGTTGTCTGCTTCTTGATTTGCTTGATCTTTCAATGCTTCTGTGGAATGCAACTCTTCTTTTACTCTCTTTAGATCATTCTGAAGCTCAAATATCTGAGATTCCAACTCAGTACGCCTGTTTGAATGCTCCTGCAATTTGCAACCACAAAAAATGAAGCCATAATGAATAATTCTAATATTTATATAAAATTACAAATTACAAATACAGAGTATAATGCTACAATGAAAATATTCAACCAAAACATAATATCTTTAATAAACATGGAAATTCGAAAACATTGGTTTTTTGTAAGAAATAATACCTAATACGAAGTATGTATTATACGACTGAAATAAAGATAAATAAATAAAAAAGTGACTTAGAGGCCATTTGGTAATACCTAAATCGGTTGTATTGACTGATTTTGTTGAAATGTATGAAGTTCTGGCTGGAGCAGTTGAATTGACTGATTTCTATTGATTTATGAAAAAATTATATTTAAAATATATTTTATTAATAAAATATAAAAAAAATTATATGAAAAATAGTTAAAATGATCATCTACAATAATTTCATCCAATACAACCAGAAAAAATAACTTCATATATTACACAATTTAGCTCGTGAAAAATAAAAAATTACTCCCTCCGTCCCTTATAACTTTGACAACTTTCCTTTTTTGGATGTCCCATTAACTTTGTCACTTTCCCTTTTAAGTAAAGAATTTGTGGTTTCAGTTATTTCTCTCCCCTGCACAAACCTCAACCACACAGTTTTTACTTTATTAATCCCCGTGCCGGTCAAACTTGGGCAAAGTTATTAGGGACGGAGGGAGTACGCGTTTGATAAAAAAGTTGGTTGATAAGCCCGATAAGCCCAAAAACATGATCACCAAACAAGCTCTTAATAACTTCTAGTGATTATAATTATATTCAAATTTTACATTATAATGACTATAAAAGTATACTCATGTCACTTTAGTCACGTTTCTATCCACAAACCATGTTTCTTTATATCATGATTTAATATGTGAGTAAATTTAACAAAATCTCTAAATTATACAAAAATACTAATCATTTTTCTTTTATTTCACAATTAAATCTGTTTTGGGATGTTTTGCGTATGGTTAATTATAACACATTAACACGGGGGTTTGACTCATTATTAAAATCTAAGAACTTATTGCGCGCAATTTATATATTACGAGGAGGTTAATGCATTAAATCCCTATCGAGTAGTGACGATCGAGGAATTATAAGATAATTCTGATGGTTACTATATAGTAAAATAATTGCAGTGACCAGTATGACCACCGTTGATTTAAAACTGAATTGTTCACTTTTGTGAGGGTGGTTGAACTTGTAGTACTCCGTATTACTCTATTAACAAATAAAGGCAAGGAGACTGGAGAGGCTCATAATGACTTTGAGGCTAGGTTCATACCTCTGACCCTACACTATGGGGTGAATTTAGTTCACTGGCTTTGGGACTTCCTTGCTCATTGGCTTTGGGACTTCTTTGCTTTTTACTGCTGCAAATTGAATGAGGAGAAGAAGTGGTAGAGCTAGAGGTGTTTGGCAAAAGCTGGCGGACAATCCTTGGCGAAATCTTTTGTTGAGATGCTGCATTGTGAGAGGAAGTTCGCGGAGAAACTTTTCTAGGAACATCATTGGAAACAGCTCGTGGTGAGATCTTTGTAGGAACTTTTGAAGGCACTGATTGTGGTGACCTTTTTCTTTGAGGTATGTCTGAAGTACGATTTCTGCCCAAATTTGCAAAAGAACAAAAAAACAATCAGTGGAGTATTGGACAATCACAACAGACATGAACTAATCAACAAAGAACTTCTAATCTGACATGAACTAATCATCAAACAACTACGGTCATCAAAGGTTAGACCAGCAAAGAGCGTTTAGCGAAAGATGTTTCTAATTCAGACCTTGTGTTGTGTGGAAAGGCGAACAATTCAAAGGTGTTCGGTATTGACTACAGCTAGTTTGGGAGGAGTCATTTGGCTTATATGTGGTAATCTTTAGATGCTAGGTGGTTTGAGCATATCAGTTTTCAAATCCATGTGTTCTTATTAAATATCAGATCGATTGCATGTTTCAAAGTAACAACCTCTAATGCCATAATAGGACTAGAGGTTCCATCCAACTTTTCAGAAAGAGTAATCTAAGACTTGAATCAATGTGGGTGAATAACTCATTCCAATAAAACACAATAGCTTATTCAACGTAGGATGAGCAGAAGAAGAAAAATGAGTACCAAAGGTGAGTTTTTGTTCCCAACAGGACACAGACACTCACTACATTAAAAACCAAGTTTACCCCCAACTGCAATCTCCAATCCAGTCTTCAACTGTCCATACAGAATTTAAAAAGGGAGGTAGTTAAAAGTGATGGAAGGAAGGAGTTGGATTTACCTTGGTTTTGGAGTCTGCATATCTCACTCAACCACCCTGTGTGACCACTTTCAATACCATGAATAAGAGAGTATATAAGTGAGAGTGAGTGAATGCTCTGCCCCCACAGTGCCTTTGCAGTAGATGTTGCTATCAACCCAAGCTTAGGGGTAAAACAATTAGATTATTATCACTGGGCATCCAATGCCAACACAAATCATTAATGCCACCCCCACCCCAAATAGCCAATTCAAGATTACTGACTTTTTAATGTTAAGAAATAAATATTTCTTCATTTCATTATTTTTAAAGACTTTCCTATAGATATCATGGAAGTAGAACTCATGAACAAAAGGCATTACTCCCTTTGTCCCAAAATGAAGTCTCAGTTTTTTATTATAAGGTGTCCCAATCTAAGTCTCATTTCATATTTTTTTTAAAAAACATTTATATAAATATCAAGTTTATTCTTTTCTTATTTTAAATCAATAGGTTCACCTTCTTTTTCATTTAGGGAAGGTAAGTAGTGGCAGAGCCAGAAATCTATGGTTAAGGGGGCCGAGCTTTGAGAATTTTACATTGTCGGGGTCAAAGTTTAAAATATCAACATATTTTCTCTAGATTCAAAGTATTTATACATAACATATACTTAAGAATTTTTTTTCTTGCAGGGGCCAAGGCCCCCTCCAGCCCCTCCCTGTCTCCACCCTGAAGGTAAGCAACAATGGCAGTCTAGGGGTTTCAACACAAGTTCTTAATCTAGGTGCATCCATAAATTTGAGACTTTTAATTTCAGACAGTGGGAGTACTACATGTTCACTATAGTCACCATGTAATATTAACTACGGAGTATAAATTAAAATTAAACATCATAATAATCACTACTGTACTGTGAAAATAGCTCTTAATTAAGTCTTTAGTCAATGCACATTAAAGGTCATAGTAATAAAGGTCATATAGGAGTATAATTTATTTTCAAAATACATTTTTGGTTTCGAACAGGGAGAGCCATAATAACCAAAAATAGATAATGGGAGAAATGGAAAATAATAATAGTAATCCTAGGGAGAGCATTAATTTCATTCTTATCCTATTGAATGCAATGTCACGAGGTCAATGGGACAAGCCTGTGTCGGTTGGGTGAGTAAATTAGAGAGAGCCTCATCCAGGGGCAATCTTGGCACACAAAAAAGATACCTCCATTAACGTCGGAAGCCTGGAATAGAAAAGGGCTGTTGTGCTTCATATACACTATTTTGGGTCTACACAATTTACTCCCTTTCCTTCAAATGTACCATGTACTAACAAAAGAAAACTGCAGAAAGTAATTAAATGTTGGGAAATTTTGGGTTTTCTATGATAAATCAGATTCAGATGAACAGATAATATTTCAATTTCAAGAATGTGTTCAAAGCAAAAAACATAGAAGAGGAAAGAAAGGTGAGAGCTTTACCAGATATGAACCTGCTCCTTACATGCAGACTTCATAGACTGTCATTAAAAAGAAAGCTCTAAATAAAGCATAATCATAACATTGCATGGGAATTGGGAAATATTAATCTTTAAAATAAACCCAAGAACAAAATAGGAAATGAGAGAAGGAACTTGCCCAGAAAAAATATGAACCTGAAGAAGATAATAAAAGAACTGTAGAATACGTGTTAACGAGAGAGATGATCAAGTTGAGGAATGTGCAGGGGAAGGTTAGCTGTTTTTGAGGAGGAAGAAGGTCAGAGGATTCGGAGTTCAGAGTTGTTGCAGCTCTTGAACAGTTGAACCTGCTTTCCTGACTGATTGTTTCTACTGATATCTCTCAGTCAATGACATGAGGTTTTCCTGATGCCGAAGACCGTCCTATATGTACAAAAAATTGCACATAAAGACCGGTATCCTTTTTTGTTTTGTTTGTTTTGGATAAACTTCGCCCAACTAATATCGGAGTCTGTTCTGTCAGGGGCCGTAAGTTGAATTGTTTACGGATCGTAAGTTCACTTGAATTGTTTAAGGATCGTAAGTTCACTTTTCGAATTGATATTTCTCTCCTATGTCTGGGTTACAAGAAATTCAATCTAGGATAACTCTTAAGACACTCTAGAACTTAGAAACAAAAACTAGAGTCAAACTAGTGAGTATATGGTTTGCTTTCTTGATATGAATGCCAAAAGTTATAAAGATATGTTGTATATCTTCCTCTTTTCTTCTCTGTACAAATATGGTGATATATATATCCATTTAATCCATATTAACCGTTCGAGGCAATTACATATGTTGTACGAATAATTGTGGTAGTTTTTGGAAAACTGCACGAAACTGCCCAACCGCTCTAGACCTCGGTCTAGAACCGCATAGTTGATCGTAAGTTCACTTTTCGAATTGATATTTCTCTCCTATGTCTGGGTTACAAGAAATTCAATCTAGGATAACTCTTAAGACACTCTAGAACTTAGACACAAAAACTAGAGTCAAACTAGTGAGTATATGGTTTGCTTTCTTGATATGAATGCCAAAAGTTATAAAGATATGTTGTATATCTTCCTCTTTTCTTCTCTGTACGAAATATGGTGATATATATATCCATTTAATCCATATTAACCGTTCGAGGCAATTACAACACGTTTGAGAATAATTGTGGTAGTTTTTGAAAACTGCACGAAACTGCCCAACCACTCTAGACCTCGGTCTAGAACCGCATAGTTGATCTATTGAGTGGTCTACCTTGAGTTCCACTGCTGTAGACACTTTGGAATAAAATTCGTTCTTATATACAAGTGTGCACTCCACACCTACTAGCTTGTATTAGAAAACGGCTCTAATCCCCATTGTCATTCATGTCATTTCCAATTACACAAAACGGCCGGTGACACTAAAATCACCAACAATCCTTCCCCATTTTAGTGTAACCCATGAAATGACATAACAAAGTTTTCAAACCAAAAATTGTACATAAATGAAAATGTCGATATGATTAAATTTTCATCTTAATATTTTACACATTCCAAATATTCGAGAATCGGGGTGTCCTATGGATTGAACCCGTCAACCCATTTGAATACCTGAAGATAAAATACATACAAGTTTTTATACTCCGCTAGAATACAAACTTGACACAATTATAAAGCCGTGTGTCCTAATCCCATTCATGACCGTATAAAAGCCCAGTCTCAAGCCTTTTGAAGCGCAGCTACACTTCACGATCATATAGGTAATTCCTTTACTCATGTACCTACTTACATTTTATCAAATGAATTATTATGAAATAAATTCAGCCTCCCTACTACAGGTCCGAACACATACCTTGGGATGATCTTGATTGTGTATTCCATAAGTGTGATCTTTCCGCATTGAATTCAGCCTCTAACGTTGTATTAAAGGGAAATTGGGTGTCTCACCATTAAGGATTAAATGGACTTTAAACTCATCCCTATCACGAACTTGTGCACTAAGTCCCGGGCCCAGCTTTTGGTCAAGTGGTCTGCCAAGTTATGTTGCGATCTTACATACTCCACTGAAATTACACCATTCATGTTTAGTTCCCTAATCATACTATGTCTAACACCCAAATGTCTAGACTTGCCATTATAAATATGACTATATGCCTTAGCCAAAGTGGCAGCACTATCACAATGGATAGAAATAGGTAGGGGTGGGAAAAACTGAACCGAAACCTAGAAACCGGCCCTGGCCCGACCCGAATTATGATATCGGTCTGAGTTTTTCCTTTTTGACCGGCCTGAATAAAAAAAACCCGGACCGAACCCGAAATTTCGGGCTCATTAACGGGCCCTAAAATCTTTAACCCGGCCCGTACCGATAAAAACCCGAAACAATTAGCTTTAATATAAAATCAATATAATATACCAATATAATTTATAAATTAATTCCTAATACGGAGTATATGATTAAAATCACGGTTGACAAAAAAATGACTTAATAACTTTTAGCTACTACAAATATGTTCAATTTATTTACCGTAATGATCATGAAAACATATTTATAGTAACTTTAGTCACATTTTTATCCATAAATTTTATTTCGTAACATTTTTAGAACACCTATAGTATCTATTATTATGTATCTTAATCAAAATATTATGATAATTGTCTTCTTTGTATTTTTATTCTTGGGTATTTTGGAGACTAATACTTGTTTTATTATTTGCGGTTTGTACTTTTTATTAATTTTATTTGAAAATAGAATTTAAAATATAAAAGAAAAATGAGATGATTTCACATTCGGGTTTTAACCGGCCCAACCCGAACCCGGACCGAACCCGAAATACAAAAAACCCGACTCGGACCGAATATAGTGGGTTGTGTTTCGGTCCCTAATTTTCATAACCCGCGACCTTACGAGTAATTTCCGGGTTTAGCAAAACCCGACCCAGGCCGGACCGATCACACCCCTAGAAATAGGTGCAATCGGTTTCCCCCACAATGGAATCTCAAAAATTAAATTTCTTAACCACTCCGCCTCTTTATCGGCAGTAGCCAACATAACAAAGTCAGATTCCATCGTTGAACTTGTGATACAAGTTTGCTTCTTGGATGCCCAAGAAATGAAACCTCCTCCAAGCAAGAATACTCAACCACTTGTAAAAGAATGATCCTCTACATTCGATATCCAACTTGCATCCGAATATCCCTCTAACACCGAAGGATACTCAAAGTAACACAAACCATAATCCAGGTTCCTTTTAAATAATTAAACACTCTCTTCATTTCTTGCCAATGTTGAGTACTAAGATTACTTGTATACCGGCTCAACCTACTCACGACATAAGCAATATCCAACCTGGTGCTTGTCATGGCATACATCAAACAACCAATGGCTTGAGAGTACTCAGGTTGTGATATTGCTTTTCCTTTATCAGACATCAACTTCACATTACGATCTATGAGAGTACTAACAGGTGAACAATCACTATAATTAAACCTTTTGAGAATAATCTCAACATAGTGAGCTTGTGTCAAAACAATTCTTTTGTTTACCCGTTTAATCCTTATTCCAAGGATCACATCCCCCCATGTCCTTCATGGGAAACCTTGATGATAACAACCTTTTGGTTTCATCAGCCTAATTTTGCTCTGTTCCAAAAATCAACATGTCATCTACATAGAGACATATAAACACATCTGCCCCTAAGACATCAAATTGGCTATAGACACACTTATCCGATTGGTTTAAACTAAAACCATTGGACAAAACAACTTTATCAAACTTTTGATGCCATTGTTTAGGTGCTTGTTTCAGCCCATACAATGATTTAACAAGTTTACATACTTTATGCTCATTTTCCGGCATAACAAAACCTTCTGGTGTTTCATGTAAACTTCCTCATCAAGATCGCCATTAAGAAATGCCTTCTTGACATTCATCTGATGTATAATCAGATTGTGTATAGCCGCCAAAGCAATTAACAACCTAATGGTTGTAATTTGAGCAACCGGCGCATAAGTATCAAAATAGTCAATGCCGGGTTTTTATCTAAAACCTTGAATGACTAACCGGGTCTTGAACTTGTCAATTGTTCCATCCACCTTGATCTTCTTTTTTGAAGATCCATTTGCAACCTAAAGGTTTAGAACCTGGTGGCAAATCCGACAACACTCAAGTGTTGTTCTCCAAAAATGATGACATTTCATCATCTATTGCCTCCTTCCAAAAGGCAACATCTGGGGAATCCATTGCCTCTTTAAAGGTCTTTGGATCGTCCTCAACTTGGTAACTGTTAGTCCCTGTTTTCTATTACAGCAAAGATTAATAGTATAACAAGCAGAAGATTAACCAGTAAGATGAACACAAGATGATCGATGATAACCTTCCTTGATATACCGTGAACTCGTACAGAGAAGAATATTGCGCTAAGGCTATTTGGAACGAGTACGAAAGTTAACGCAACCCTAAACCTGAAGCGCCTTTTTATATGCGCTGATATAGGGTTGGCGTAAAGGCTTCCAGCCTGATATGGGCCTGACATGTTGGCCCCATATCCTTTATACCCTAATAAATACAGATATAAAATACAAAGGATATAATAAAGCTAATCTATTACAAGATATATGACAAACTTGATTCACAATTAAATGATCTTCAACAATCTCCCCCTTTGTGATCAAGTGCCATCTTGCTATGGCTTCTGAGCTTTGTAGTAGTGCTTCCTCATGTTTAGCGCATGCTCATATTGTCTCAGCATGTTTGTCTTGTCCAGGCGGTCATCAATGGCTTTTAGAATGGCTTCCAGCGTCGAATGTTCCTTTAGGATGTATGACGATGCCTCCTCAAGTTTTTGATCACTCTGTTTCTTCATCTTCAGCAGCTGTTCTCTGATGATCTTCAGTGTTCCATCACAGTATTTCTCAACTTCGCTGATCATCATCAGGCGTTTTTCATTCTTTTGATTTAGATATGTAACTTCTGGTGGGGTGAAGAAAATGTGATATGCAGGGAAGTCTTCGAGCTCTTGACCATACAGTCTTGGCTGTGTTAGGTTTGTCTTTGTCATGTTGTACTCGATAGCCATCTGTAGGTCGTGAGATGAATGGACTCTGACTTGTCTAAGCATGAACCTCTTAATTGCTGTGAGGCCTTCGCTGTATGTTCTGCTTTTTCTGACTGGGAGGTATCTGTATGCCATAAACATTTGGTAGATGTCATCTGGTTTGAGAATGATGAAGTCGTTTTCCTGACATGTGAATTCACTTCCATCAGTGCGTTGAAGTTTGTATGAGTAGAATCTCACTCCATGATAATCCTCAACCACCTTTAGGATTTGATGAATTGGATGAATATTGGACTTCAGATCCTTTTCTAACAGCTCTTGTTGAGGCCCAGTTGACCGCTACATCAGCATATGAAGATGATCTCATGCCTGCTTCCCTTTGAGATGAGTGATCCCCTGCAGCTTTAATTCATTCAGAGGTCTGACTTTCTCCGGTCTACGCCATATACGCTCTCTAATTTCCTCTTGGAAGGGGGCTTTGATGCGTACATTTTCCCATGGTTTCTCTGTCTTGGGAAGTCGTCCCGCCGTTTGTCTGA